GAAAAAGAGGAGGAGAAGGACAACGGTGATGACGACAAAGAAGAAGAAGAGGAAGAAGAATAAGACGAAGAAGAAGAAGAAGAAGAAGAAGAAGAAGAAGAAGAAGAAGAAGAAGAAGAAGAAGAAGAAGAAGAAGAAGAAGAAGAAGAAGAACAAGAAGAAGAAGAAGAAGAAGAAGAAGAAGAGAGACATAATATTTAGAAGAAGATAGTAAAGGAGGATGAGGGGTGGAAAAACTGAGCCAAAAAAAGGGGGGGGGGGTGGGGAAGGAGATAGATAATCAGTACCAGTAGGATGAGTATCACATTAGTGCTACATCGACAGCAATTAGTCAAAAGTATGTCACCGCACAGGGTTTAAACAGGGGCGAAAAATGCACCATATGTTTCCGGTATGCGTTGCAATTGCAACTCTGTCTAAAGTATATTTCCGTTTCTTTGAAATACCGACCCACCTCGTGAAGTGCTGGAAATTCCCGGACCATTACCGGTTAATTTTACTTGCTCTGTTATTTCAAGCTGCAGAATTCCCAAAATATTTACTGAACCATGTCTCCCGCTTCAACCGTAACCTACCGAAGTTTTTTTTTTTTTCTTTCTTCTATACCTTGCGTTCACCGGCTGCACACACCTGCTGAAAGTTCTGGTTGTTCCTCCACCTCTGGACTTTCATCTCGTTCCTGAATCTGCGTGCACATCCTTTTCACAGATCTCATTTAGTTGTATGCAGACTGCTGATCTATTGTCTTTTAGGCGGAAGCACTCCGACTTTGAAGAAAGATCTTACTACCCACAGACCAGGGGCAATTACTAGAAGTCTAAGTCCACATGTAAGAATCCTAGCCCCTGCCGGGGATTGAACCCGGAACCTGTAGCACTCGAGGCGGACACCATACCTCGAGACCCACCCCCTTTTTTCCCCATCTCCAGCATTCAAATGGGACACTGAACAATTTTGTTGCGGTCGCTTGTAAAAAATGTATTATTGCAATTGCCATTATTTAATGACTTCCCCTCTATACTATACTATACTATACTATACTATACTATACTATACTATACTATACTATACTATACTATACTATACTATACTATACTATACTATACTATACTATACTATACTATACTATACTATACTATACTATACTATACTATACTATACTATACTATACTATACTATACTATACTGTTCTGTACTATACTATACTATACTATACTGTTCTGTACTGTACTGTACTGTACTGTACTGTACTGTACTGCACTATACTATACTATACTATACTATACTATACTATACTATACTATACTATACTATACTATACTATACTATACTATACTATACTATACTATACTATACTATACTATACTATACAACTTTGCATGGAATGCAACTGACAGAAAAAGAAAAATGAACAGTTCTGGACAGCAATGTTTCCGCCTGGGCCCTGGGCACGTGCTGCGGTAGGTGAGCGCAGCAGACACCACATGTCCTACATTAAGGTGAATTAAACCATGGGAGTGTTTTCGCCAGAGCTGTCTGGTGTTGCTGTCTGGTGTGGCTGCCTACAGGGCGACCAGGTCTGGTTTCAAACCCTTCCTTTTGTTTTGAGAAGCCAACTGCTCTTGTGGTTGCATAGATGACCTTTGGTTATGTTGGGAAACGTCTAGAAGGTGAATGATTAACGCTTCACCCGTATACGCACTAGTTCCCCCACATCGACTATCTGACAACTAATTGGGTTCCCTATTGAAGAGTGCTTAACTAACGCAGTTTCAATTGTTATGAAAAATAAGGTTTAGCCAATTAACGAAAAATATATGGCTGGTCTTTGTTGGGTTGCCAACTGTTACGAGAAACGAGGTTTAACCACTTTATTGAAATATAGATGGCCTTTGTTGTGTTAACTTAAACTACTGGACGTAAATTTGCCTAGAAAAACCACACAACGGCCAGGGGCTGTTGGGGTTGGTTCTGCAACGTCAAGTAAAGGACACGCAACTAACCTTAGCTGTGTTCGCAACTGTGACGAGACAACAACAGGATTAACTCTTCTAGTACCGGGATGTATCGCATGAGATACCAGTGTAGAGAAATAACCATGGGGTGGGGGGTAGAATCACAAATGTTTTTTGTTTTTTTCAGACAGGTAATATAAACAGTGACGATTACCACTGAGATAGCCAGATGTTCTGTATGTTCTGACCAAAGTTTAAAATTGACATAACGCATTATGCTATGGAGGAAAAACTAGTGGATAGAGCCACTCACACACCAAGCGTTGCCTGGGACTGAAAGAGTTAAGACGTTTTAAACATATGGATTATATATTCTAACTCAGCTATTACGTTAGCTCTTGTCATATAAAGTGTTAACCCGATCGCTATCAAGCACACATTCAGAAGACGAAGCAAAAGGAGACGAAGGAGGAGGAGGAGAAAAAGAAGAAGAAGAAGAAGAAGAAGATGAAGAAGAAGAAGAAGAAGAAGAAGAAGAAGAAGAAGAAGAAGAAGAAGAAGAAGAAGAAGAAGAAGAAAGAAGAAGAAGAAGAAGAAGAAGAAGAAGAAGAAAGAAAGAAAAGAAGAAGAAGAAGAAGAAGAAGAAGAAGAAGAAGAAGAAGAAGAAAGAAGAAGAAGAAGAAGAAGAAGAAGAAGAAGAAGAAGAAGAAGAAGAAGAAGAAGAAAAAGAAGAACGAAGAAGTAATAATTTTAGTAGTAGTAGTAGTAGTAGTAGTAGTAGTAGTAGTAGTAGTAGTAGTAGTAGTAGTAGTAGTAGTAGTAGTAGTAGTAGTAGTAGTAGTAGTAGTAGTAGTAGTAGTAGTAGTTGTAGTTGTAGTTGTAGTTAGTAGTAGTAGTAGTAGTAGTAGTAGTAGTAGTAGTAGTAGTAGTAGTAGTAGTAGTAGTAGTAGTAGAAGTAGTAGTAGAAGTAGTAGTAGAAGAAGAAGGAGAAGAAGAAGAAGAAGAAGAAGAAGAAGAAGAAGAAGAAGAAGAAGAAGAAGAAGAAGAAGAAGAAGAAGAAGAAGAAAAAGAAGAAGAAGAAGAAAAAAAAGACGAGCAAGCAACTCAGACAAGATTAAAAAGACGAGCAGGACTAAAGCAATAACTATGAGAGTTAAAGCAACCAATGGTTGTCTGGGACATAAATATTAGGTAACATAGCCAACCTAACACCGGCAACCCTGGTAACACAGTAACACCGGGTCACACGGCCTGGCTCATTAAGTACTTAACATCAGCGGTAGGATAACAAACACAACTTGATACGGTATCTCTCGTGTTCCGGTAACCCACAGCTGTCTTCTATTCTGCTTCTGGCTTGCCACGGCACTGACAGTCGGACTGATAAACCCACAGATTAGCTGTAGGAAGTCCCCGGGCACAGAGGGCAGACAGGAAACAATTTGAAAACAGTTTAGTTTTTTTTTTTTTTTAATATAGTAATTGAAGAAAATGTGAATAGAGAAATAGTCCATAACAGAAGTGGATTCACGGATGAGAAAGTTTAATAAAAGAAAGCAGGAAAGAAGGATTAATTTTAGTTAGATATAAAAACATGTTAGTTACGTAATTTTTACAGGACGTTGCAGAAACAACCCCAGCTTTTTTTGGTTTGGGGGGGGGGGGGGCTGCTCTGGTCTTTCTAGGCAAATGTTACGTTCAGTAGTTTGTCTTTGCACGGTCAGCTCTCATTAATACCGTTGAAACCAACACAAGACAGATCGTCGGCAGCTGAGATCGAACCCAGCACCCCGGCATAACCAAGTGCGTTCACAACGCCTAAGCCACAGATGCACAAATAGACATAAGTTACTAAAATATAGGCAAAAAACAGCAAACAGTAGGTTAAGTGAAGAAAGAAAGAAAGAAAGAAAGAAAGAAAGAAAGAAAGAAAGAAAGAAAGAAAGAAAGAAAGAAAGAAAGAAAGAAAGAAAGAAAGAAAGAAAGAAAGAAAGAAAGAAAAGAAAGAAAGAAAGAAAGAAAGAAAGAAAGAAAGAAAGAAAGAAAGAAAGAAAGAAAAAAGAAAGAAAGAAAGAAAGAAAGAAAGAAAAAGAAAAGAAAGAAAGATAGAAAAAAGAAAGAAAGAAAGAAAGAAAGAAAGAAAGAAAGAAAGAAAGATAGAAAAGAAAGAAAGAAAGAAAGAAAGAAAGAAAGAAAGAAAGAAAGAAAGAAAGAAAGAAAGAAAGAAAGAAAGAAAGAAAGAAAGAAAGAAAGAAAGAAAGAAAGAAAGAAAGAAAGAAAGAAAGAAAGAAAGAAAGAAAGAAAGAAAGAAAGAAAGAAAGAAAGAAAGAAAGAAAACTTCAGCCGATCAAGGTGAAAAAAAAAATTGAAAAAGCTAGGCGGACAGATATCAGACAAAAGTGGATCTTAAACGGACAGATATGGAGGAGGGCAGAAAGTAGCGAAGGTAAGCAGGGATGGAAGAATGAAACTTCAGTATCGTGACAAGAAAATTGCTCGGTGTTTGATTTCTTCTCTAAGCCAACTAAAATGGGAGTCTAGGAAATTAAAGCCCAACCAAGTTCATGAGGTCTAGACAGGAAAGAACAGAGGAGACAAAACAAATTTGCACCGTTCACGAACATGCACACTCAGAAAACAAACAACCCAAACACACAGAATAGCCTACCCTGCTTTCATTGCAACGCTTGTGCTATTTTGATTCCACGTTTTACCCTGTTTTCCAATAATGTTGATTCTTCTTCGATTTCCAGGCGTATGAATCTATAGTCCACGCAAGCAAGCCGGGTATGAATGTCCATTTCCGGAATGGAGTAGCCTGATTTGGAACTGGTGTCCCGTGTATGCTGTGTGATGATATCCGGAACATCCAACATGTCACTGCGGCAGAGTATGCATATTCCTGATAACAAAATCGATGTAATGAAAGTGCAAGAATCAGTTTTCTTCTCGCTGTGTCCAAGAGTTCTACAACATCGCCAGAATAATCAATAATAAATTGATTTGCTTTATCGAAAACAAATATTCATACGCGTTCTTATAGACATGACGAAACACAAGTTGCTGGGGTGCTCATTCTTCAGTGTGACACTCCTGGGAACGGTTCTCGTCATTTTAGGTCAGGGCACCCCGGTTGTTGCTAGCTACAACTTCATCCGATGTGGAGAGTGCGACGAGGCTCGGTGCCCAGAGCTGCACTACTGTGAAGGACAAGCCATCAAAGATCACTGTGGTTGTTGCACTGTGTGCTCCTCTTCCAAGTTTCAGCCGCATGTGCTGATAGCACAGCAGCCTGGGGGTGAGTTGTCTTCAGTCCTTGTTTGATGTTCCTCTATTTTCGTTTTCCTAGTTCCTTCTGAGTCGTTCATTTATTTATTATTTAGGATTGGTATCCCTGCGGTGCGGAAGGAGGGGGAGTGCCCTGTCTGTTTCGGCCTGTCTATGTCTGCCTGTCGTCCGGCCAATCGGTCGGTCGATCGTATGTAAGTATGTATGTAGATTCATCTCAGAGTGTCGGACTGCTAACAGATTGTAGCATAATCTTGATGAACATGATCACGTTGTTTCCCACTTGATATCACCCTTCATATACAATTATCACAGTATTAGATAAACTGATTATATTCCCGCATATGTTACGTTGAGAAAAACTGATAATAATATACCTGGAATGTCTTTTCGCTGGAAATTACATTTTTACTGGATATTATTTAAGATCCTTTGAATTGGAACCAATATGTACATGTTTCACGCATGACTATCAGGAGAATATTGTTTGAGCTGATATGGGAGTTTTTATCGAATTCCGTACATTCTCGACCGACAGGTGAGCCAAGTTGGAACCAACCTTTGAGTTCCCAAAAATATTCCGCTTCCCAGATACCTACAGGAAAATACCTAGAGTGGGTATAACTTTCAGCAACAAACGGTATGTACAGGAACTTGCGTATGTACAGGAAATGTTTCCTTGAGTGCCTATAACTGTCATGAAAGTGGGTATGTACACGAAAATACCTCAGTGTCAGCTTTCAATAACTTGGCTATGTACAAGAAATTTAACCCGAATTCTTAAAACTGTCAACAAGTGAGTTTTGTATTCCTAACAAAATAAAGATCCTTAATAGATATTTCCTAAAACGAATACTGATGAGAGACGCCGAAAGTGGTGGATTATATTCCATTCATTGTATGGAAACAATTTCACAATGATTAGTGATTAATGAGGTTTCTTATCACAGCACTGCAGGTTGATCCACGACCTCCTGGAACTATTTAGAACTATTTATAGAGAAGGCGGTGGTCCATAGGTGCTCTGATCGCTTCCACAAGCGTAAAAACAACTTATGACGCTTGTTCTCTGATGACTAATCAAACCTCGTGTTCCCTAGACGAAATGTAAATTTCTTGCGGTTCCATATTACACCACTATATAAGTAAGTGCTGCGCATGATATAGATAACATCCCTTCTGCGTGTTACCCGACCAGCTATAGCAACTGAAGTGTCAGCAAAATAATCAACACTCTCTTTGCCACGAATACACGCCTGGCCCGGAACTCAGATGAAGGTTAGGCCAGCTATTCGCCAAGTGCTAATGGATACAATCCATTCTTGTCCGATAAACCCAGGTTGGATTTTCTGATAGATATTCATCAAGTTGGACAAAGAGGAAACAGTGACCGTATATTTGTTATTCGATATTTTCGTTTCACAATCAACAATGTCGAAGAACTTCACATCTTTATTTCAAATTCACCAAATATTTTAATTAGATACATTACACCCACTTATTTAGACAGTAATAAAGATACATTTGGGGGAACTGAGAGATTTGTAAGAAATTAACATTAGATGCAGTAAAGCAAACCAAGTATTGGGACAGCTAGCCCCCCTCTTACAGCATAAGACAATCCCAATCAGCACAAAGAGACATCTTATTCAAGGCATATTTATTCCAACTCTGTGCTACCAGTGCCAGACATGGTCACTCACAACAAACCATAAAAGAAAATTGGTAACCATGGAAATGAGATGTCTGAGAAGGGATGTAGGAGTGACCATAAGAGATAAGATCAGGAATGAGATCATAAGAGAACAAGTCGGCACAGAACCAATTCTAAATTACATACAAAGACAGCAAGTGAAATGGTTTTCCCACTTAGAGAGAAAGCCTTGTGACACCATACCATACAAAGCATACATGGAAAGAGAAGAAGGTCGTAGAGCAAGAGGTAGACCAAGAACAATATGGAAGGATAACATCAGAGAAGCTCTACAACAGCACGATGTGCCTATGGTCGAGGCGGCCAGAAGAGCCAGAAACAGAACGTTATATCTCCCTCGACACCCACAGCGGTAAAAGAGGAAGTGAAGAAGAAGAGAGATATGTACAAATACGAATAGAACAGACGAGATAAGATTTCCTAACATTTTATTTTACTGGCAATCGACACTCAGTGGGGGATGTGGTCAATATCATGCCGGCCGCCTTCACGTCCCAGGTTCCTGTCTGTCTGTCAAGAACAACAAAATCTGGCTCCGTCAGGACCTGAACTCACAACCTTCCGATCAGCCGGCGAGTGTCTATCCGCTACATCCCGGTGGCTCCAAAGTAAAACTAGCACTAAAGAAATACAAGGTAGAAATAATCTGCAAATTTTCATTAAGTGGTGTCTGTGCAGAACACAGGCAATTGAATGGTATGATAGAATGCGTTTTTCTACTAGAATCCATATTTTCAAGGGAATATTGGTTAGTCAAATCAAAAAAATGCATTACATTGAAAAGGAAACTTAAGAGGGGACTTATAAAGATGAGAAGGAATGTGCTCCATTGGGGATAAATGACAGAAGCAGAAAAAGAAACAAACAAACAAAGAAGAAGAAGAAGAAAAAGCAGCAGTAGCAGCAGGAGAAATAACGCCTAGAAAAATGTTATAAAAACATCCAATTCAAAAAAGGTCTGGGAGTCACTGTGGCTGAACGGCTAGATGCTCGCCGCGGATCAGAAAGTCGTGCGTTCGCTCCCTGGCGGAGCCGGACTTATTTCAAACATAACCTTGGCTCCCAGGTCGACCCAGCCTTGAGTGGATACCGGGTGCAGTCCAGGGAAAGTAAAGGCGGCCGCCGTGATGCTGACCACATCACCCATCTTGTGCCGATTGGTCTATAAAAATATAGGTCTAGCCCTATATGCCCTATACGCCTAAAGGCGTGAAAAAGGGCCTTTTCCTTTTTTTTTTTCACAAGAAAGTCTGTCAGTTCACATCCGACTTACAGTATCTGATATGGGATCGCTATTATTTTTCTTTGCAGCAGGACTGCGGTCCGTTCGCCCTTACCGTTTACAAACCTGGCTTTTGTAACTTTACAACAATTATGTTCATTATTATTAGCTGCGTTCTAAAACCCAGGGTTTCCCAAATTCTAACAGACGCAATCCCCTTTTTATGCTAGCTGGGTATTCAGCGACCCTCAGAGAGGTGGTTTTAAGGGAAAATCCTTAGAATTCCTTGGACAGCCAAACAGAGCAACCCAGATGTTTTAAAGAGGCGAGTGCTCAGAGAAGATTTATCACAAACATTAGAAAGAACCAGTCATAATATTTTGATTACGTTATGAGAATAAATAAATTGGAACATGTTGTAGCCACTGTAAAGATCTGTGGGGAAAATAGATATAAAAAAGCAACGCGATACGAACCTTGATTGCCATTTGTCCGAAGAACTCATTTCGCTGTTAAAGTTAGCAGACTTTAGAGTTGTATGATCGCCCACGCCAGTCGACAAGGCACCTGATGATGATGATGATAATGATAATTCTGCGATCACTTTTTACAGCAGCCATGTAACCTATGACCCCTTTAATATTAGTAGAGTGAGCCGCCTCTCCTTGTATAGTAGTGGACTGACCCTTGTGTATATATAATTCAACATTTGATGACTACGTAGCCATCTTTATACCAGTCACATTTGCTTCCAGGGGCATTTCATTATATGATATTTAGACTGGTAGGTAGGTTGGTAGGTGATTGTACCCCACCAGGACATCACACTTACGAGATAAACACCCGGTGACACAAAGTGCCACCATGCGGATAAGGATCACCCGTTGAGATGTCCCAGAAACCTCTTTCAGTCGTTAGGCCATATCTATGGCTAGGCCCTAATAAGGGCCCGGTTTTATTAAGGGCCTCCAGCAAAAGCTAGGATGTAGCTTCAAAAACAAATTGCATCCCACGAAGGTACGAGTTAAAGTAAAATTCGGACTGGAGCCACCTGGAATACTGGGTCGTTTTATATCAGTCCGTTTCGGTGTGGATTTAAACCCAAGACTCTTGGCCAGGCAAGCCATCCTTTAGCAAGAACCAGGATGGGGCTTCAAATAATGAAAAATGTCATTCTAAAAAGGACGGTGAATAACAGTCACACGGAAAGATTTTCGGAAACAGAGATGGAAGAAGACACCGCAAGAGTTATCAAATGCCCATTGGTCTTTGAAAAGGGTGGACCTATTCACGTTTCCCGGTCCATCTACACTTTCTCAGACTGATCTAGATCAGAGGGGTGTCACATTGTACTGCTTTTTTCGAAAAGAGTCTCTCATGTGACCTAAGCTCAGGCTGTGGGTTGTGGGGTGGGATGGGAGGGAGCTTGTGTTAGGGCCAATTTTAGATACTCTGGGGTCGTTGAAAGCTGTGTCGTCGTGTAGTATAGAATACGCGACATCGGCGCTGATGTTATTGGAGACAGAACAACGTGACACCCCTCCGACGTAGAAGAGTCTGAGAAAGTAGGTAGACGAGACGGGAAACCCGATCTAGATCAAAAGGGTTATTCCACTATTATGCAAGAGAGCACTTGGTGTTTATCAAAGGGGTCATGAGATAAACGGCTACAAAAAGTGATCACAGAATCATCATTATCATCGAGTGAATGCAGTAGATGGTAGTATGTTTATGTATCCCAGGCGAGAAATTGTCACAACTTCTCTGGTCTTTTTGTATGTATGCATGTATGTATGTATGTATGTATGTATGTATGTATGTATGTATGTATGTATGTATGTATGTATGTATGTATGTATGTATGTATGTATGTATGTATGTATGTATGTATGTATGTATGTATGTATGTATGTATGTATGTATGTATGTATGTATGTATGTATGTATGTATGTATGTATGTATGTATGTATGCATGCATGCATGCATGCATGCATGCATGTATGTATGTATGTATGTATGTATGTATGTATGTATGTATGTATGTATGTATGTATGTATGTATGTATGTATGTC